GGCGAAAATGCTATAACTTATTGAAAAGTGTATGGATCAACACAATTGTTTTATGAGAAATAACATTTTTTAATAATTCCTATTTCATTCGACATACTTTATCTTAATCAAGATATTAATAAGGAACTAGCAGATCATGTAGCTTTTGGAATAATACATCAATTTTTTTAAAATTAAACACTATCTAAAGATTTGCATCGAAGCGTTTATTTTTGATAGTGATTTTAATCACTGTCAGATAAAATTATACTTGATCCAACTATACCATGGGACCACTGTGCCGCGACCCCCCTGTGATGGGTTTTTTTTCAGTGTTAGAAGTATTTGGTATTCTATAATTAAAAAAAGAAAAATTGATTTTATCCTCTCTCTTTTTTTCTTAAAATTTTCTAACTTTAACTAAGTTTTTTTAATGAAAACATGTGTTTATCCAAACAAGAAAATGATTTATTAAAGAAAACTAATACATTAATTAATATATATTTATTATTAATCGATAATGTCTTTTTAACAGTATAGGAAATTATTTACACTTAAATATAAATATTAGAGGTTAAGAGTCAGTCTATTTATTATTATCGCTAGGCGTTTATAAACTACTCCTCCTTTGGTATGAAAATATTAATATTTTTAAACTCTAGTTTCAAATTTGATATTGAATAGTCAATTTTTTAGATTATGTTCTCGTTTGTAAACTGGTTAAACATATACTTTTCCATTTCACATAGACAGTCACAAAAATGTAAAACCACGACATAGTTAAAAAATACCATCCAACTACGCATGGAAGCTAAAAGTATAATTTTTGTTTCCTCTTTCACTTTGCTTCCTACAGTATGTCTCGCGGGCCAACTCGACTCTATTAAGTAAGGTTATAAACCTCCGTTTGAAGAGACCGGTCGTGTTGTGGCGATCAGACGGAAGGTTATTAAAGCACAAGTGGCAAATAATCGACCCTTCCGGTCCATCACGTGGACATAATACAAATATACCGTGTATTACAACAGCGACAATTCCTTCAAGCTACTAGGGTAAAGATTTTTCGAGCAGAGAAAAACGTTTTCTATATTTATTTTCATTTAATCATCGCTGGCGCGCGAATTCACATAAATTCAAAGGCAAGGAATGTCTTGGAATAATGTTTTACCAAATGATGCATTTGTTGTTATTTTTTCCCCTTCGCAATATGTACTCACGTAACGCAATCCAGACGATTTTCGAACTATTAACAGTCACATCAGTTCTTAAGAGGCGTATTTAAATACTGACAGTGATCTAAATTACAAAAGATAAAAACATCGGATAACGGACTTCGAGATTCGTTAATACCTTTTCACGTGTAGGTCGACAGATATTTAGTGGGTGATCACTGCCAATAGATAATTGATGGACAAGTGAACTTGAGTTTCACGTTTATATAATTCATAACACAAACAGTCATTGAGTGGTCGAAAACACATGTTTCTGACTATATGTTTTGACACATGATGTCAGTGTACTGACTCATGGATTGTTTAGCTACTGTAGATAATTTTTTGTCGATAGAATAAGCAGCAAATGACTAATGCGAATGACAAATACAATTAAACATAATTATTTTGTTAAGTGATTTTGTGCCGCATGCATCTGGTAGTATGTTATAATAGCGATTTATTTATACGATTAAAAAAAGAAAATCGAAAAAGTTGTTGTGATAAAGATACAAATAAAAGGAAATTGTATAGTGACATATAGGATGTATGTCCTTTCCGGGAATTGAAATCGTCTTCCAAAATTAACTTGTCTATCCGTCACGTTTTCATTCGATTTTTACTGATTTTACCTACCGCCAGTTTTTTACTTCCATCAACTTTTAAAATCAATAAATGGACAAAAGTTCACGTAATCAAAATATTTCATCATCAAATAAATTTTATTATAAAATATATACTTTTTTGAAATATTTCAAAAATGAGTTATAATAGTTTTTTTTTAAATCAAATTTAAGACTCAATGAACTATTTAGACTTGAAAAACAGAATATTTACTAAAATTATTATAAAAAAAAATGGTAGCACAGTGAAGTCGTGGCACAGTTGGGACTAATATAGATTTAATCTGACAGTGATTAAAATCACTATCATAAGATACGCTTCGATGCAAATAAGTAGTTGGTAGTTAAATTTTAAGAAATTTGTGGATTATATAAAAGCAAAATTCTAACTAAAATAGAATTAAGGAAAAATTGCAAAAAAATCATTGCCACAGCAATGATTTTTACTGAATCGGCCTACGTTTGTCGCATTCGTTTTTCGATAAAATATAAGCTGATTCAAATGTTAAAATTAATTTTTTCTACTTAAAAGAAAAAAAAATTTAATAAGTTTAATTTTATGTTCTATGTCAATTAGTGTTATAAAATATTCATGAAAATCAGTGTACTCCATTATAAGGTATATTAAAATAAATTGAAATGCAAAACCCAAAATTTGAACACAAAAATAGCTAATATTTTTGAATATGATAACCATGTTCACTATATCTCGAAATTATTTTTCTTCATAGTATAGTATATTACATAAGCTTTAATTTAAGATTAAATAAAAGTGTCAATATTTCAAATATTTTAATATTTGAAAATTTTCAAAACTTGAGTTGAATCTAATACTTTCTCAGTTTCGCCATGAAGCTAAAAATATGTTTTCCTCTTCAATTTTTAATTTTATATCTTATTTTTTTCATTAAAGAGTATGGTCTACTTTAAATTTATCAAATTAAAATCATATTTAACATTTACAATTATAAGTAATGTAAGTGTGATATTGTTGAAGTTTTTTTGGTTAATAAATTCATACAACTCATTAGTAGAATATAGAAATAATTAAGTTGTAACTAAATTAAGTTAAAATATGTTGTCATTAGTTTATAGGTACGTCTCAGTTCTTACAAAAGAAATAGCTAATAAACTAACCTTACTTAATTAATACTTAGGGAAAAATATTTCAATCTCAAGTAGCTCGTTATAGATAAATATTAATCCTAACGAGTTATTCATAAGAAGTTGAATGCAATGCAATTGTATAAAGCGAAATATGTATTAAAATGCCCCTCGGTAACATTATGGTAAAGCTTAGATTGCAATCACGATAGAGACACAAAAGATGTAAAAATGTAGAAGGAGTGAAACCAATCTTATGAGTTTAACACAAAGTAAATATAATAAGACTGTTTATTATCGCACTAAATATAAAGAACAAATGCATAGTCTTACAAAGTTGTATGTATTAACAAACGACTTTCTTCAAATCTGATATCTGTATTTGGAATTAAATTGTACATTTATCGGTATAGATTCTATTCGTGTAACTATTGTGAAAATTCGTATTAATATTTTTTTAATTTTAATTTAACATAATATCTCAAGGTTGGTGTGTTGCATAATTGAAAAAAAGTCAGTTCAATTAAGTAAATATACTATTTGATTGAGAATTACATTTTAATGGAACATAATATATTTGTCAACAAATATATATTATTTATTCACAATAAGAACTTTAAAAACATGATAATGATTGACATAGACAATATTTCTACATGTTGTTATTACCTAAATAATATAGTTCGGTCACTCGAATGCGCGAGATTCCTATCTACCGCTTACAAATATTTGAACAAACTTTTCGCTGAAAAATTTAATTATTTACAGTTAGAAATTATTTTAAACGGGTAAATACAAATAAAACCGATTGAACATGATTAGAATAACTTGTATCAGTAGATTATTGTTTGAGTCAACAAAATATGTATGACACTTGACAAAAATAGAAACAATACTAATCTCAAGGAGAAAAAAGAACAGTTTTTTTGTTTTTCTTTTAAACCAAGTGGACTATATCATTATTCAATTTTTTGAAGTAGTAAGAAAAAAATCATTATAGGTATTACTTTTGAGAAGACATTTGATTTTAAATAGTAATCAAATATCACATTTTTAATATTTCTGTTAAACAAATAAATTTATTATTACTAAATAATTATTTTTAATTATATAACATAGTCTTGTTTTATTTATTAAAAAATATATATATTTATTAATCTTTAAATTAATTATGTATTAATATTATCATATGTTTAATTTATCAATATATTTATTTAAATATTTTATAAAAGAAAATATATGGATTTATGTTTAAAAATAAAAGCTAAATCCAGAATTAAAAATTGAAGGTTCAAATTTAAATGAAACCTTTGTGTTTTAGAAATCATTTAAATTTCATAAATATGTTATTTTTAGTACAGAATCACTATAATTTTAGGTATGAAGGTGATTTTCGCTTTTAATTCGAGTTTGCTTAAGTGAAATTTATATTAGTAATAAAATATTAATATTTAAATAATTTCATTTATTGAAATCTATAATAATATATATTAAACGATAGAGGCGTAATAATGAATTTTCTAAATGTAATATAAACAAGAAATTGATCACTTGCGCCTAATATTATTTAACATTAAAATTATATTAATAATATTTAACTCAAAAAACTTTAAAAACTACTAAAAAATCGCTTATACATATTTCAGAAATTATAATCAATCCTAAATACCTACTAACACATAAGCTAAATACATAATTTCTAGTCACAATTTTTGAAAAATCGAAATCATCTCAATTTTTAGCATTGTTTAAAACGAGTTTCATAAATTAAAAAAAAGGTTCCAACGAATTTATCTTACAAATAAAATAAATTAAAAATGTTTTTGGTAAAATTCAACATTTTTAGATCATAATATATGTTTTACGTAAATGTATTATTAAATAGCACTTAAAGTACAAGATGTATTTAGAGAATGGAACTTGCTACTTAAAAATAACCATTCTTCCCCCCCCAAAAAAAAAAAATTCTTTCAAATTATGTGATAATGTAGATAAATTAGTTAACAAAATGAGAAACTATTTATTTAAAAACGAACTTATACTAATGCTAATCTATAAAAATAATAAAATTTTATTTTTTTAGTGGAAGTCACTAGACATGGCACGTGACACTCCAGATGAAAAGGTTTCGCTGGAGTTGGTAACTCCTGGTTATGTAAAACGAGGGTCGATAGTTAGCAATAGATTTATAGATTTAATTGTAGACGGACAACATACTGACCATTCAAATATTACCATCCATAAACCAATAAAACTCAAAAATTACTCAGCTAAAGCAGAAGTTTTTGATACTTTACACCAAAATTCTAAACAGGTACGTAATGATTGTATAATTACAGTTTTTTATGTATCTAGTAGGAGTGATCCTATTATGATCATTATGATCGTGTTTAGCTATATAGTTAAAATATTTCAGGTCACACACCTAAAATTTGTTATAATACATTAAAAATTAAAATATGAAAAATTTTGTTCCCATAAGTCAACGTTAACACGTGCTTTAAGAAGATTAAAAATTCGATCACAAATGTAGTTTTTCAATATATGTGGCTTCATCTTCAAAAATGTTATTTATACGAAAAAATTATAAGAAAGAAATTATAAATCTAAATATTATACGTAAAAAAATTTATTACAAAAAGTCATAAATCAAATATCATCCCCCCAAAATTCTAAAGTTTAAAAAGTTATTTTTACCAGTAAAATTAATACCTTTTGACAATTTAAATATATATGATAACCGTTCTAGTTATCAAAAAACTGTTCTTGTAAAAGTTGTTTAAAATTTAATTTTTAATATTTGTTGTAAAATAAATTGAAAAGATTATGTATTTGCTAATGATGATCACAAGGTAAACTGATAAATACTCAAAATTACAAAGTTCTATTAAACATATTTTAGAGTTTTATTTGAACTAATTAAAATTATAGAGAATTTCTTGAGACCACAGTAATTTCTTTAAATGGAGTGCTATCTAGAGGTATCTTTTAGAATCTCTGGATTGATTTACCATGCTCAATGGATGTCGAAAACCCTTTAAACTTTAAATATTAATTTTTCATAAAGAATTCAAATTAACCCAAAAAGAGTAATGTAATATACTTTAATTTGAAAAAAAGAAATTTGACCTCTGAACTTGTCTTCATGGAGAAAATGGCTATCGAATTCTATTTTTGTATAAAAATTCTCGATTTTATTTTTTATATTTTTAACTTTATAATGCTATAACTTATTGAAAAGTGTATGGATCAACACAATATTTTTCTGAGAAATAATATTTTTTAATAAACCCTTTTTCGTTCGACATACTTTATCTTAATCGAGATATTAATAAGGAACCAGCAGATCATGTAGCTTTTGGAATAAAACACTATTTTTTTTTAAATTTAACACTATCTAAAGATTTGCATCGAAGCGTTTTTTTTTATAGTGATTTTAATCACTGTCAGATATCATTATACTTGATCCAACTATACCACGACACCACTGTGCCGCGACCCCCCTGGTCTGGGTTTTTTTTTTTTTTTATTATTTTTTTTTTTTTGTAACGCGGTTGGCATTACTTCAGGGCGGCCCACGCTGTCCATATAATTCACTCCACCACGTTATGAATCAGCTCGAAATGAATCAAGAGCTGATTCACAACGTGGTGTAGCCCCCTCCCATTAATCGGATCCCAGAGTGGAAACCGTTTGGGAGGGTTGGCAAAGTAACTTACAAAACAAAAACAAGACCCTAAGGAACCGGCCTGAACCATCGCCACTGGTCCTTCTGTACCGGGCGGCGAAGCTGCCTCTGTCTCAGGCGTTCCGCTTCCTCCTTCTTTTTCAAGAGGCATTCGGCGAACGTTTGGACGAGCCTCCACGCCCCCTGCTCCTCAACATCAGGTCTACTATGGACCCGACTCGGAACGCAGACCCTAGTCGGAACTCCAAAGAGTCCCGTTCCTAGGCCCATGCCTCGCACCAGAGGAGGGTGTGCAGAGCGCTGTCATTCGCTGTCCGGTCCACCCACCTGTCCAGCCGATCGGGTCCTATGAGGGACCTGGTCCACTCCTCTCTCGTCGTTTCCTCCGAGAGGAGAATCCGTCACCGGAGCATGGTTATCCACCTGAGCGCCAACCGGTCCTCGGGTTCGAGGGGCCGGCCATACCAAACTTTATAAAAAAGAAATATATCAAATAAAAGATTTTGTATCATGCAAAACTTTACATTTTTTTTTTAACGATTTAGTATCAGTTATAGTTTTATAGAAACTTCTACATGGGAAGAAAATTCAAATTATTGCAAAGGTCAAGAAATAATTAATAATCTCAAAATTGTGAATGATACTGCAGTTAAGTTAAGTACTTTAATGAAATAGGATCAAAAAACGAAAAACAAAAACTGTTAAGAGTTGTTACACAATATTAAAAGCGATTCCCCAACAGTAAAAAAGTTACACTATTGGGACAAAGTATTTTACATTATATAATCATTTCTTATTTATATTTCTATAATTTATATAGGTATCTAGTTATTGTTAATATTAATATTCAATACTAGTGTTGTAATCATATAATTATATTCTCAATTGTTTATTGTAAATATTATTTCAAAATGTTAAATTTTTGTGAACATTATTTTATAGATTTTTATAATATAACGTTCTTTTTTAAATAAAATGATATGTAATTATTTATAAGTATTTTAAAATGCTCAAAGTTTTTTCAATTAGTATAGGAAAATGCTAACAATTTATGAGTTTACCTTGTTTCAAATACAAAACCTTTTCAATTTATTTTACAATACATATTAAAAATTAAATTTTAAACAACTTTTACATGAATAGTGTAGTGACTATGGAATGTTCTCGATCGCTCCGTAAGAGAATCTTCTTGAACTCAACACAATATAAAACGGCGCGACGTAACAATAACGTCAATCAGTTAGTTAGCAAGTCGTCAGTTAATCGGTTAAGTAGTTAAGTACACGTAGTGCATTAATATAATTTTTATATAAATTTTCTTAGTGTTTTAAACAATAAACCGTCTACATTTTTTTCTGTTATATAAATTAGTGTTTTTATTTATTTTAAATCAATAAGTGAAGCACTAAAAATAGTTTTTGGTAACTAAAACGGTTGTCGGGTATATTTAAATTGTCAAAAGATATTAATTTACTAGTAAAAATATTATTTTTAACTTTTGCATTTTGTTTTGGGAGTGATCAAATATTTTACTTATGACTTTTTGTAATAACTTTTTTTACATAAATAGCTATATTTATAATTTCTTATATTTTTTACGTATAAATAAAATTTTTGGAGATGAAGCACATATATTTAAAAAATATCTTTGTGATCGAATTTTTAACCTTCTTGGGCACGTTATACGTTGACATTTGAGAATCAAATTTTACATCGATTTATTTTTAATTAGATCTAATTTTAGGAGTGCGATCATCAAAATTTTATACTTAAAAAATAAGGACCACTCTATCAATGATCATTGATCATTATAAATTATAATCTACGACACAGTATATAATAAAACCATTTTATTTTTACTTAAATATAAAAAACCCAGCACAGGGGGGTCGCGGCACAGTGGTGACGTGGCATAGTTGGATCAAGTATAATGATATCTGACAGTGATTAAAATCACTATCAAAAATAAACGCTTCGATGCAAATCTTTAGATAGTGTTTAATTTTAAAAAAATTGGTGTTTTATTCCAAAAGCTACTTGATCTGCTGGTTCCTTATTAATATCTCGATTAAGATAAAGTATGTCGAATGAAAAAGGGTTTATTAAAAAATATTATTTCTCATAAAAAAATTGTGTGGATCCATAAACTTTTCAATAAGTTATAGCATTATAAAGTTAAATATAATATAAATAATAAAATCGAGAATTTTCACACGAAAATAGCATTCGGTAGCCATTTTCGCCGTGAAGACAAGTCCAGAGGTCAAATTTTTTTTTTTCAAATTAAAGTATATTACATTAGCTTTAATTTAAGATATATATAAAAGTGTCAGACCTTCCGGAACATTTTCAAAAGTTAAGTTGAAAAAGTTAATTTTTTGTGAAAAAGTTGTCATTTTAAATCCCCCCCTGTGGGCAGAAAAAAGGTCGAATTTACAAAAAAAATATACCAACTAATAAGTAAAGACATCAAGCATCTATATAAAAAAAAATTATATTGATATGTTCATTTTTGAAAAAGTTAGAGCATTATTAAGTTAAAAATATAAAAAAAAATTATTTTACAAAAATCGTAATTTTTTATTAACTTTGATGTCAACTTTCACCACGAAGACAAGTCCAGAGGTCAAATTTTTTTTTTTCAAATTAAAGTATATTACATAAGCTTTAATTTAAGATATATATAAAAGTGTCAGACCTTCCGGAACATTTTCAAAAGTTAAGTTGAAAAAGTTAATTTTTTGTGAAAAAGTTGTCATTTTAAATCCCCTCTTGTGGGCAGGTTAAGTGTCAGATTTACAAAAAAAATATACCAAATGATAGGTAAAGACATCAAGCATCTATATAAAAAAGAATTATATTGATATGTTCATTTTTGAAAAAGTTACGGCAGTTTTTAGTAAAAAAAATTGAAAAAATTTCGAAAATTAGCGATTTTTAAATTTGTAATTTTTTTGGAGGTTTCCCCCATTTACGGGGAACGAGGGAAATTTTTTCAATTTTGAAGGGTAATGTCTTCGACTAGATACGATTTGTGATCTTTTGACGTATCGTTGAAAGAAATCCGTTCGGTGAGAGCTGAGAAAAAGTGGTAACAGACACAAAAAAAAAAAAAAAAACACATCATAGTAAAACCAATACCTTCTCAGCTTCGCATCGAAGCTAAAATGTCTTGACTTAAACAAAGCTCACATAATCGAGTTTTAAAATTGAAATGGTTATAGAATAATAATAAAAGCAATGGTTATCAGGCTTATCTTTTAACATTGGAGTGTTAAATTCTATAGCCAATTCATCTCGAGAATGGAACAAAACCTATTGTTGTAACACGTTTAGTTTTTTAAAAAGAAAATCAATGTTTTGTAGTTATATTTGCGGTCCATTGATTGTTTTTTTTTTTTCAAAATTATTAGTTAATTCTAGTATTTCCGTAGGAAAACGGACCAAGGCATTAAAAAAATATCAAGTATTAATAGAAAACAATCTTAATGATTTTTTTTTAAATGTTTCTTTTATGTATGATTATTGATTTATAATTTCCAATTACATTATTAAATATGATTATTACACGATGAACCACTTTTTCAAGTTATATTTTATATACTTGATTATTTTAGTCTTGCATA